CATTTTAAAGTTTAATTTACATTATTAATATTTTCTCTGAAACTTTCTTATGTCTAGAAACTCAACAGAACATTAAATCAAGCCCTGATTTATAGCATTCACCAATTTCTGAAATGTAAGTGCCCACACTGAACATTTGATAATTGTATGTCAAAGTATGAACTGGCTCTAGTATGCTTCTGCCTTCAATTGACCCAAAAGTGAGTCCAAAGCATCATAGAATCCAACTCAAAGAGCTAGATGTGAACTTAAACACCACCAAATCAAACCTCCTCATTTTACAGGTGAGGAAATTAAGATCTTGAAAAGTTAAATGACTTGTCTAAAGTCGCACGTGTAAACGACAGAGATATGATTTTTTATTGCTTTTCATGGTTAATTATGTTTAACTTTGCTACTAGAATAATGATCTAGCTTGGTTATGTAAGTGGATAGTATAGTGAATGGAAATATTCAGAACACATATGGTCCTCATAAACAATGGGAAATCCATTGGTGAACATAGTGGCCATTCATGCAAAACCTATTGTGGGACATCATTGTCATCCATAATTATTGACCACCTGCTGTGCACAAGACACTGTTCCAGTAATTCAGGATACTAAGATGAATCAAGATAGCATTTATTCAGGCATTTACTATGAGTGTTACATGCTTGAGATGCAAAGATGAATAATGACACAGCTCTTCATGGATCATAAAATTTAATGGAGGGGATATGACCCATAAGTTTTATTGTTCCCCCTTCACATTCACGTTGTTTAAAAAATACAAAGTGTTGGGCAGAAGACTTGGAAGGTGGGAGTGGGGAATGTACCAACTAAGAATAATGGAAAAGTGACCTCCACCTTTGGCTCAACAGAGCCCAAATTCAGGGTTCCATGTTTTTAGTTAGTTAACAGCATAGACTCCCTTTAACTTACCACAAAGATATAGGGCACAGAGCTTTCAACAACCCCTTCTTCCCCTACTCTTCAGAGTACTGTTGGCTTCCAGGAAACAGAGACCTTGGTTGATTGGAATATTTGAAGTTGGCCTTTACTCCTGCCTTAACAGCTATTTATAATATTTAAGAATTCAAATGGTCCACACTAAGTACTTAAGATCTTTAAAGTTAACAGTAGTTATGTTTTTTTTTAAGAAAAAAATTCATAGTAATTTTTCCAGACTGTGCCAGGCTACTAAATCTTAATATAAGAAATCTGTAATTTTTTTTTAGTTAAGAAAAAATAAAGCTTGCCACCCTCCCCTTTCCCCTCGGGCTTGGCTTATGGGACATATGTGCTCCCATAGGAAGAACAGAGCCTGTCCAAATTAAAATTAAAAACCACATTTGGTGACTTTTATATAGTATTTGACAAGTGAAACATGGTTTTGAACTTACTGTTTTCTTTTTGGGCCCACAGTAGTGAATAAAAATGACTTCAATCAGAAAATAAAACCCACAGAATTTGGCCTAAGACCAGTTCATAAAACTAATGGACTTTGGAGTTTCCTTAGAAAAAGCAAGGCATGATTTGGGAGGCTGGCCAGGCTAGCAGAGCCCTTGCTGGGCTGAAAGTTAGAAATCTTGAGCACTAGTCTGTGCTTTGGCACTGATTTGATCTGTGAGGTGAATTTATATAAGGCATATTTTCTCTCTGTAAAATGGGGATGAGGGACAACTAGGTAGCACAGTGGATAGAGCACTGGCCCTGAAGTTAGGAGGACCTAAGTTCAAATCCGACCTCAGACCAAACCCTTGACACTAGCTGTATGACCCTGGGCAAGTCACTTAACCCCAATTGCCTAAAAAAAAAATAAAATGGGGATGAAAAAATAGTTCTTTCATGTGTGAAGTGACAGAATACTACCGATTTACTTGCTTATTTTTCTCTGATATTGCAAAGAAAAATTTAAAACATTTTCTCCATATAGTTTCATTCTACTTCTCCATTCCCCATCTAGCCTCACCTTGATTTGAAATAGCAGCCATTATATAACAGATCTCTTTAAACAGAAACACTTTCTTCTTGTGAAGGGACAAGGGGTTAAATTAAAGGAGCAAGTCTATTGTCCGCTATGAGATGAGTGAGGAGGCCTTGTCAACACTTATTCATTTACCCTAATATTATTAACCCCCTCATTCTATTCCTTTTTTAAGTCACCCTCTACTTCTACTGGGCTAGTTGGATCCCTCAATCCACCTGCCACTGAGTCAGGAGACCTTGGAAGGTTATGGTTGTGAGTATGGGTTATACCAGCTACTTAGTCTTTCTTACTATGTGACTATTTACCTTTGGTAAATCAATTAGCCTCTTGGCCTCAGTTTCCTTATGTATAAAATGATGGAGTTGGGTTTGACGATTTCCAAGATCCCCTTAAGCTGTAAGTTCTATGATTCTATATTCTTTCTTTAGAAAAAGTGTTCTCTTATAAGACACCAAGGTGGTAAAGTGGATAAAGCACTATACCTGGAGTTAGGAAAACTTGAGTTCAAATCCATCCTCTGACACTTACTACTTAGATGATTGTGAGCAAGTCACTTAACTGCTATCTGCCTCAGTTTCTTCATCTGTAAGTAGGGATTACAATAGCCCCTTTCTCCCAGGGTTGTTGTGAGCATTAAATGAGGTGACATTTGTAAAGCGCTTTGCAAACCCAAAAGCACTTTATCCATCCTACCTATTATTATTAAAAATGTCTTCTATTGCAAACAACTAACCATCAATAAATAATACAGCCTGAAATTGGGCCTAGATGAATTGGGATCCACTTTTGGCAGGTATCTGCAGTAGATTCTCTAGTGTGGAAGCCTGGGGCCATCTCCTGTGTTCCTCTACTGAAATGGGCAGCACTGGTTCGAATTTTATTTTAGATACTGGCCCTGTTCTGAGTAAATAACCCAGACTTCTAAAGGTTGCAGAAGTACAAAGTATATTTGCCCGGGAGACGGAACAGTTCTGGCTCAAGTCATCTTGGTCTCTGGAGAAAACATGCACTGTTTTAACATTAGATTTTTTAGAAAAAAAAATTTTTTTAGGACAAAACAAGGAAATTAATAATTTTGGGGGGAAATTTTGCTCTGTTAAATAACAGTGATGTTGTAACACAAACTGACAAAAGCCAGGAAATACAAAGTCAGAGCTGGAATGAAAATGTCACATTCTTTGCTTTGAGTCTTCATTTCCCCCAAAGTATTAAATTGTATCAGAATCTTGATACTGTTTTATTGACATATGGTTTTATATTTGATAGCTTGTGGTTGTAATTCCACATTATTCTTAGGATTGAAAGAGTATTTTCTTTGGGCCTGTGGAATGTGTATTTTTCACACATTTTGCTATCTTTTAGATAATTGGATAATTATTGGATCTTTTGGATAAATTGGATAATTATTGCACCATAGATTTAGAGCTGGAGTAGATCTTAGATATCTACCTTCTAGATTTTACAGATTGGGAAACTAAGACTCAGAAAGGTGAAATTACTTGCCCAAGGTCAAATAGGTAGCAAATAAAAAGAGGCTCAATTTGAATACTGCTCTATACAGAATCTGATCCACTGTATTCTTGTGGTGGGGAGTGGGAGGAAATTGTAAAAAGTTACCATTCAATTTTCACTGGTTGCTTCTCATGTGTAAAATTTTAAAGTCAGGGCAAAATAAGAGTGGGGAGGGGGAGACAGTGAAAATTTACCATTCCTTTCTAACATCAGGAAACCAGGTAAGGGAAATAATAATAACTGACATTTAGATAACTCTCTAAAGTTCACAGAACATTTTTCATCTATTATCTCATTTGATCCTCACATATTGGGACCAGTTACTATATAAGCTATTATCCCCATTTCAGAGATGAGGAAACAGACTCAGAAAGGGTGAATGACTTGCCTATGATGACGCAGTTAGGAAATGTTGGAGCTAAGATTTGGACCTAGATCTTTCCTATCTCCAAGTTCAGCTCTCTTTCTGGTATACAAGGCTGCCTCATGAGGAGAAGTAGCATGGTAGCCTCAAGCAAATAGCACAATAGGCTTTCAGCCTACCCTGGGGCAAGTTTGTGAACTGAGTCTCCAAGGCATAAAATAAACCGGAAATTGTCACCGAATTTTAGAGCTGGAAAAGGCCATAGAGATCATGTGTTTTATAGATGAAGAAATGGAGGCCCGGAAAGATTAAATGACTTTCTTATGGACGACTGTGAGCTAGTTACTGATAGACCCGGAACAGGATCCCATCTCTCCTGACTCTCAGGCCATTGGGCTTTCTATTATAATGCATAGCCACACAGTCCAGGATACTGGGTTCAGTTTAAGTGATTTGTGTAAGGTCACTCAGTAAATTAGCAGCAGAATCTAAAGGAGAGCTTCTGACTCCAAGGCTCATGGTCTTTCTGTCTATTACCCTCCTTCCCCCCCCCCCCTACAAGTTGCTTTCCCCTCATGCTCAAAGAAAATTACATAAGTGGTACCATAAGATGGAGTGCTGCCTGGACTTGGAGTCAGGGAGTCCTGAGTTCTAATCCTGATTCAGGCATTTACTAGCTGTGTGACTTGGGATAAGTCATTTAAGGTTTCCTCAGCCACAGTTTCCTAATCTGTAAAATGGGGGGTCATGATAGTACCCATCTCACAGGGTTGTAGATAGATAGATAGATAGACAGACAGACAGAGTTTATATTAAATACTACGTGCCAAGTACCGAGGATACAAATATAAACAAAAAATAAAAATAAAAAGGATAATCCCTACCCTCAAAGAGAGTATGTTCTAATGGGGGAAGACATCACATATAAGGGAGCTGGAAAGGGAGTTCAGGAAGATTTTGAGGTATAGCTGAGGGAGTTGAGAGTGAAACTAAGCATGAGTGAGCATCAAACTCACAGGGGTATTGTAAGGATCAAAGTGATACAATATGTGGAAAGTGCTTTTCCCATGTGATTGTTATGGTGATTCTTTTATTTCCCATGTGAGAATAATCATTGTATTCTCCTTTTTGCTCCCTCTTTCTTTTCTGTTAGGATGGGTCGAACCACCTACATTGTAGGGGCTTTGCTTCTGCTCTTGGGAACCTTGCTGTCTGCCACCGAAGGCAAAAAGAAAGGATCTCAAGGTGCCATCCCACCTCCTGATAAGGACCAGTACAATGACTCAGAGCAGACTCAGTCTCCCCAACAGTCTGGATCCAGGAATCGGGGCCGGGGCCAGGGCCGGGGCACTGCCATGCCTGGGGAGGAGGTGCTGGAGTCCAGCCAGGAGGCCCTGCATGTGACTGAACGCAAATACCTGAAGCGGGACTGGTGTAAGACACAACCTCTCAAGCAGACCATACATGAGGAGGGTTGCAACAGCCGCACCATCATAAACCGCTTTTGCTATGGCCAATGTAATTCCTTTTACATTCCCAGGCACATCCGGAAGGAGGAAGGTTCCTTTCAGTCATGTTCCTTCTGCAAGCCCAAGAAATTCACCACCATGATGGTTACACTCAATTGTCCTGAATTGCAGCCACCGACCAAGAAGAAAAGGGTTACCCGGGTGAAGCAGTGTCGCTGCATATCTATTGATTTGGATTAGGTCACAGACGCCCAGCCTACCCTAATGACTCAGCCCCAGATGCAGACGGTGCCAAATCAAAGGCAGCTTGGCACTTTCTATGCTCAAATCCCAGATGCGGGAAGAACCACTCACTGCCTCTTGGCATGAGCATGCACGTGTGCATTTGTCTGTGTGTTGGAGCATTGCATGCATGTTCAGAGGCACCATGGGGGAAAAAACAATCTCTTCTAGAGGGCACTTCCTATTATATAAAGAGTATTTGTTGCATTTGGGGATGATGCAGATGACCCAAATCCCTGGCAACTTCCCTGAGGCAAATCACCAGTCAGGCAGGGATGTTGTCTTGCTTTGCCTCTGCCTTCAATGCGCCTTCTTAGGCATCTAAGATTCTCTTCAGAATGAGTGTTGCATGGACAGTGGTTACCCTGGGTTTTGTTAAGGGAGCATGGAAAGGGACTTGCTTTCAGATCTGTACCTGACATAGAAAAATGATTTCAGAAGCTCCTTCCCCTAACCAGTAGTTCCTTTCAACCACTTTTGGTCCATGCTCCCAAACACAAAATCAGTAGCTGTCTACAAACCAAACTCCTCTCTGTGAGCTATCCCTGTTGTCTTCTTACCATGGTTTTATGTACTTTCCTCTTTGCAAAAATACTCCAGATAATTAAAGGAGGCTTGGATTGCCAAGAAAATGGAGGTGAGACACTGAGGGGCAAGTAGTGGTCCAGGAGGTAGAATTTAGGGGCAAAGTCCACATGAGCTTGGCAGGATTGAGGTAGGGTGTGTGTAGGGAATTGAATATGACAACACTGTAAAATCATCCTTTGAAGTAGAGATTTTTCTTGCAGCATGAAATAGAATCTAAGTAAATCAAGGACTCAATAAATGTCTTGCATAACACCCTCAACTCTGTTGTGCATTTTGAAATGGACCTGAATAAAATACGGTAGGCTTAGCTCTGATTTTCTTGAAATTATTTGTAGAGAGTCAAATTTTCAATGGTGGCGCTTCTCAACCCAAGATCAAATTTCTGTCTTGCTAATTTTTCTAGCCCACTGAAATTCACAATATGTAAAAAAAAAACTAAACTGTTACTGCCCACTCTCCCTCTGCTCTACATCCCCATAAATACAGGGCTTAAAGCCTTCTGAAAATTAAATCATCGTATTATTGTTCACTCAACAAGAATTTATTAAGCATGTCTACATGCCAGGCACTCCGCTGGGTGCTGGAGATACAAAGACATAAATGAAACAGCCCCTGCCCTTAAAGGACCTACATTCTGCTACTGGATGGAATCAGTCATATTGGTTTGGAAGCTACTTGACCTTCTTATAACACAAGACTGAGGACAACAAGGTAGAGGTATATGGGAGATGCTGATTACCCTAAATTCAGTTCCCAGACAGGGTTGTGAAGATTTTCTATAAGATAGAGGATCTCTTCTGGTCTCAATATTGGGGTTGGCTTCAAATTTCATGTCATGGCAGCTGGCCCACTTACTAACTAGGCTAGTTTGATAGATATTCACCATCATTTGTGCAACTCATTAAAAAAATCCCTAGCCTGTCCTTTCTCCCAGGCTAAATAGCCTGGTTTTCCCAGAGAATAAGGAAAAATATCACTAAAGATCAAAATTAAAGTTCAGTCCTAACTCTTTTCGACCCCATTTGGGGTTTTCTTGGCAAAGATACTGGAGTGGTTTGCCATTTCCTTCTTCAGTTCATTTTACAAATGGGGAAACTGAGGCAAACAGGGTTAAATGACTTGCTCAAAGTTGCACAGCTAGCAAATGGCTGAGGCCATATTTGAACTCAAGAAGATGAGTCTTCCTGATTCCAGGCCCAGCACACTATCCACTGTGCCACTTAGCTGCCCTAGATAGCCTACCATTTCTAATTATTGGCCCTGAGCACATAAGCAACACACAGTCAACAAGGCCAGACTCAAGACACAAATATTTTCAGCATTAGTTGAACCAACCTAAGATAGCCCCTTACCACCACCATGATCTCCTGGGGATCATGAGAAATATTGCTCAGACCTCCTTCCCCATGAAGAGTTGGGATCTGGTACCCCACCCTTTTTTAAAAATATATATTTTTATGGAGAAAATGGTGTGGAAACATCTCTTTAAAAGAAGACTCCAGCAACTTTTTTTTTCTTTTCTTCTTCACGGGTTTAGCATTGTTTTTGTAAATTAGAATTGTGGCTAAAAATTTTGGCTCTTTCAGGAAGTCCTGATGCTAATTGTGCCAGATCTGAACTTGTCAAATAGAGTATAAAAATGCCAGTATAACATGGAATAGAGTGGGGATATCTGTTTAGCTAGGGATGGTTCTGGCAACATTATAGTTGCGGTGTTTTGTTTTTTTAGCCAGTGTTTTTGAGAGAAGGAAGAGAAGATAAAGAAAGGAGAAAAAAAAAGAAGAGGAAAGAGAGAAAAAGGGTAAGAGAGGAAGAATAGAGATCTCCTGGGAGAGTCATATGTTAGTATGATTTAGAGGGAAAGATAAAGAATAGTAATATTTACTCTATAGTCCTCTGTGCAGAGTTTAAAGGGAAATCCCCATTTTATTTATTTTTTAAAGGAGGCATTCAGAATAAGAAGCTTTGTTTCTTGTCCAATGATATTGGTATGTTTGATGTGTAATAATTCAGATATTTATTGGTTAACTTATCTGCATTGCTTTAAATGAATTGGGACAGCTTCCAATGACTATTCCTGACTTATTCTTCATGTAAGGTTAAGATGGAACACTGCAGAGGGCAGGTATGCCTAGCTCTGTGTCTGTGTGACTACACTGTTTTCCCAAAATTTGGAGTTTTATACACCAAAATCAAACCTATATTCTTCTTGCCCAGTGCCTCCTTAGTTCCACAACTGGGGAGGAGGACGGGAGCTCAAAGACCAGGAGTTAAAAAATTCAGGGCACTGCTAACTCTCCAAGAAACTATTTTCAAAGTCGTCCCACCCAACAGTTATAAACAAGAACCATGTATTTTAAGACAGAACTGAAGATCCAATACTGGGTTTCATTTTGAAGTCCTTTTCCAATTTTCAATTCTGATTGAATTTCATTTCCAATTCCTTCCTGATGAATCTTACCCTTGGCCCAAGGTCCACTCAAAGACACTCCTCCCATGCCCACACAAACATACTTCCAACGTGGAAGCACATTGTCTACTCTTTGTATTAATCCTCCCTGCCCCAAACCTTTTTTTCATTCAAATCCTCAAACAGGAAAGCATAGAATGGCTTTAATTAAGCACACAAATGCCTAAACCAAAATGGGGAGTGGGAAGAGGAAACGAGAATGGAACTGAAAATGTAAAACCACACTAGAGAGGAGAAATAACATTCAGAACCAGTGAACACTGAATTTCTCTTGTTGTTTTAACTCTGCCACAGGCATGTGATTTTGTTAAAAAGAGATGACTTAAGTGGCCAGCAATAATCTTCCTTTTAGTAGCCTGTACCACAGTCTTGCATTTGGGGAGTATTTGGCTACAGTAAGTAGAGTTTCCTCAAAATTAACTTCCCCGGGATAATCAGCAGCATGACTACCCCCAAAGCATAACTAGGCAAACAAAGAGAATAGTTCTACTTGTCTTATTCTGCCGCTGTTGGTTAAGATTAGCATGAGTACAGTCTATCTTCCATCATTTACTTAAAATGCCACATTGGTTACATATTATATCAGGTACTCACTGATGATGCGATAATTCATTTCTGCATTTGCTGTAGGTTTATTTGTTTTGACTGAGAGATATACATGATTTCAATCTTTCCTATTAAAATAATGCCAAACACTGAATTTGGATATTATGGCATATACCTGACATCTTTTCAAATACATATATTATATATACGTATATATATATATACTTTAAGTGTTTTTGACATCTGCATTTCTTCAAAGATTAAAATTAAAAGTAATAATAACTATGATAAAGGAAGAGAGAAATTTGGAGATAAAGGAGATAATTTCCACTGTGTGGAATGTGAATAAACAGAAAGATATGGGTATTTAATGTAATTATTAATTCAAATATTTTGTTCAGTGTGATAACAGCAGTTTTTTTTTTCTTTTGTATGACTTCCTCTGAATTGGGCAAAGGAGACACTGGCTCCTCCTAGGTGGTTGAAAGTTTTTTGTATGGGATGACTTTTATTCAGAGGGAGACAATAAACTTTGTTTTATCTGTGCACATATAAGTATTACAGTTATAAAAAATTAAGAGGCTGACATCTATATTTTATGTTTCAGAGGTTAACATTCCTGAAACAATATTTGTAAAGACTTTAAGCAATATCTGTGAAGACTTAAGTTGTACAGAAAGGAAATACCAATATCAGCAATAATTCACAAAGAAAATGCCTTAAGGAAAAATTTCAAATGCCAATTTTATGCATAGAACACACAAATGACTAACTAATGCATAAGGCTAAAAAACGGTTCTGTTGATTTCTCATTACCCAAGATATTTAATATAAACTGTATCATGTATTTAAACTTCTCCTTTATTCTGAGAAAAAAAAAAGAATGTAGACTATGAGGTGCCTTATTTTTTTTGTGTGTGTTCATGGACTCAAAAAGAAATTTGGTTTAAAATGAATGTCTATTGATATGTAATTGAATAGGATTGGATTTTTCCCCAAGAATTTTATATGTAACCTTTTCTCAAGGGTAACCAATAAATTAAACCTCTTCTATATTGTTTTTGTTTTTGTTTTGTTTTGTGTAATTTCTCTTAATGGGGATGGAATGTAGAAGGAAGTGAGTAGAGAAGACAGAAGGTTTTTTAAATTATAAGATCATGAATTTAGAGGTGGAAAGGATCTTAGAGGTCATCAAATCCAAACCCTCATTTTACAGATGGGGAAACTGAGACCAAAAGAGGTTAAGTGACTTTCCACAGATAGTAAGTGGTAGAGTTGGAACCAAGTCTTTTGACTATAAACCCAACACTTTTTCTACTATGCTGTGATAACTCTTGTCATAGGAGGAAAGGAAGAGGATGGCTTCTATGATTTCTCCAAATGTCAAAGGTTTTATTCCTTCTACCTAACTCTCCCCTGAGCCCAGCTAATTTCATTAGGCACTCGCCATGACTTGAGCTGGGAAGAAATGAATATAGAAGATTAGCATCTGAAGGGATCTAGAAGTCATCTGGTCCAACCCACACCTCACCCAGAATTCCCCTGGAAGCATCCTCAATGGATGGTACTCTGGTCTTCTCTTGAAGACCTCTAGTAATCAGTAATCCTAAAGAATGGGACAGCACATTCCACTTTGGATCAGCTCTAATTATTAGGAAGTTTGTCCTTACATCAAGCCTACCTCTTCCTCTCTTCATTTTCTACCCACAGTACTTCATTTTGTCTTCTTGAGCCAACAGAAAAGTCCACATAACAGCTCTTTAAATACACAATGGCAGTTAACATGTTCCCTCTGTCTTCTTTTCTTTGGGCTAGACATTTCCTGTGTGGTTCAGTGGCAAGGGTGCCAGATTTGAAATCAGAGGACTTTAGTTTGAATCTCAACTCTGTCATCTATCTTGACTCTATCATCTACTTACTACTCGTGTGACCAAGGGCAAATCACTTAATTTCTTTGGGCCTCAGTTTCCTCACCTGTAAAATGTGGGAGTAGGATGAAACAGCCTCTGAGGTACCTTCTCTTTCAAAATTTATGATTATATTAACTCACCCATTATCATTGCCCTTATACTGAATGCTGGCCCTCTCAGAATGTAGCTAAAGATCATAGTAGTTTTTCTGGTTGCTGCATCATATTATTGATGCAAAGGAAGCTTGCAATCCATCCACCAATCTCTTCCCCAGATATATTATCAAGTCATGCTTTCAACTTTGTCTTACACTTACAAAGCTGATTGTTTGAATCCAGTGGCAAAACTTTACATATCCCTATTAAGTTTGATCTTATTAGATGCAGTCCAATTTTATAGCCTGTTCCATGAATGAAGGTAGAAGGTCTCTATGTATGTATTCCAGTGGTAGCTGGGGCAGGGTAAGGGTAGGAGAGGTATACTTTTCAAACATAAACAAAAAGGGTAGTACCATTTTCTCAAGAGCACCTAGGACCAACACTTCATTCAATGATAATGGAGAATAATGATACCACAGATTCTTTAAATATATGCCACTGAAGAATTTGGTTGCAAGGTGGTTGAAACAACTAGAGGAATTAAAAATTAGTTTTTGATCCTCCATGTATTTACATTATCCATATTATCACTGTTCTCCATTATCATGGAATGAAGAATTAGCCTTTAGTGTTTCTAAGATGTCATTATACCTTTTTTTAAATGGTTAGAAACTTCCCTCCCCTACCTCTGGTACCTTCAAATGTACAGTGAAATGAGTTTATGATAAAAAGTCTTCTCTTGCCTCAAAAACTGCATTCACATTGAATTGATGTCACATATCGCCTCCCTTGGTAAGGGCAGTTACGCAGTTCAGTGACACAGTAAAATACTGGGTTGGACAATCGGTTAACCAACAAGCATTTGTTAAGAACTCATTATGCTCCAGGTACTGTGATAGGCACAGAAACAAGCATGAAACTATTCTTGACCTCAAGGGACTTGCATTCTATTTGGAAAAACAGTGTGTATACATCTATAGGAGCAGATACAAAATACTGACAAAGGGGAGAGTCATAATCATTTGGGGAATCATGAAAAGCCTCATGTAAAAGCATTGAAGA